TTGTCTGTTGTCTTTTACTCAGGAAAAATCCTGAATAAACTCAAAAAATGTTGAAGGAATAAAAAAAACATGTCACAAGCGAGTTGTGAATGTATGTATAAATAGTATAGACAGTATTTGAGTGACAGAGACTTTGTATCAGGTGAGGACAACCTTGAAAAAACGTTAATCTGTAAAAATCTTAACAAAATCTTTAAAAAGTTTGAACGTCAAGGAAAGACATAGCGCTTTAGAGTTGCTTACCCTGTGAAAGCAGAGTTAAGTTATAAAAGAAATTTAAATCCCAACAAAGGAAATTATACAACGAGAACAATTCTTAAAAGATGAATTTCAAGTATTAGGAAAAAAAAAAGGATTTAATGATTGGGCATTGGATTATACTTTATGAAATGTATAGGAATAGTTTATTCTAGTTTTGATTTTTGTTAAATCGAATAGAGTGAAACATCACACATCAACAAAACAAATACTTATACATATTTTATTATATTTTTTTTTAAATTTCTAGTGAGTAATATAAAGAAGATTGACATCGTCCACGAACTTTTCGAACAACCCTCGTATATAAATATTTCCATTCTTTTTAAACCACTTATGTTCTATTTTAGCACAACAGAAATGAATACAGGGTTTCAATCCACGAAACAGCACCAAACAAGCTCTTTCGAAAATCTGTACGGTTTTTTTCTGACAACTAAGATAACAAGCATTATCATATAAGTTCAAAGTCTTTTCCTCATTTTGACACATTTTAATCCTTTTGCAAATGTAATCATTTACTTGACTTTTTACCGAATTTTAGTCACACATTTTTAACAAGAAACGTTAAAGTACAAGGTATATATTTACACGTGAATTGGTCTTTTTAACAGACCTCAAGACAGTGGTGGAGCAGTAGCAACAGTAGGAATTGTGTTGGCTCTCCTGATCCTTGTGGTTGTAGTAGTGGTGGTGCCAGTGGTGTTTTACAGGAGAAACACGTGTGGTTTCAAGGATAAAATGGAGCTATTATTTAATTGTATGTATCAAAAACATCATTCAGAAGGCGGTGCAAATTGCATTAATGGGATTTTGCTGTTTTGCCAATGAACTTTATATCTCAATTAAGACGAGAAATAAAGATAACAAATTGATTAATGTTTTCACATTTTATAGATATCAGAAACCATCTTCTTAGGAACACAGAAACTGAAACAAGACCCTCTGGTAGAACTGGTAAGATGGAACATTTTCTCCAGTAAAAGTCATGTTTCACACCTAAGACAAGGGGAATGGGAAAATTGTTTACTGATCAAATTTATTTTTTTCATGAAATGAAAACAAATATTATCCATGCACTTGGTTTAATTAGAGGATATTCTTTGCTTTTTTGTTGTGGATATGGAATTTCTTATAGCATGTTTACAGTTGGACAAAATTTTTCCAATATATTAATGAGAACAAAGCAAAGTATAATATCAGAAAAATCCTTCCTTATGACTTAAATAAATGCCATATCCATCGACAAAACTTCCCTTTTTATTATGTCTTTTTTTCTTTTCATAACATAGTGTCGTAGCTGATCATGAGTAACAATACATAAGCTAATGATTGTGAGATTGAAAACATTGTAAACATAGATATCAACAACATATTTGGGGATAGTTTTGCAATTTTAGTCTGTCAGTATGGTTTATTTACTCTTACCTCAGGTCAGGAATATTTCCTCTGAAAGGGAAATTAAGAGATTAAATGTTTTTTGATATCCTGTCCCACCATGACAGAGTATCACTTTAACATCTTCACACACCGTGGAAGAAAATCACTTATTTAATAAATATTAAAGTATGAACAGTATTTCAGTGTTGATAATGTAATTGTTTTTTATGTTTCCTCATTCTGCACAATCTCAACGCATCTTTGTTTTTACTGAGTTGTGATCAAATAAAATCAACACCATTGTTGAGATGAAATGCATGTATGTTCATTTATTTAAAATTACGAAAAAAAGAAAATTATATACATGTTGTAACGTGCGCCGAATACACAAATCTATTTATAGCTCGTTTTCACCTGTGACACTCTTACAAAAAACACACCAACCAAAATGAATTAAAAACTTTAACAAATTTTAATGAAAACAAGCAATAGTATCAAATAAACACACAGTTACAGTTACACACAAATTGACATATAATAAACAAATTCAGACAACGTTTACTCAGCTGTTCAGTTCGAATGTCCTCCAGTCCAGAACGAATCACACCACTCCGAGAACATCAGACACTATGGACGGCGGTCACTAAATATGTACTTTCACGGTATTATAAACATCCTGGGCCAAATTACAAAGTACGACATACCATCAGTCCATTGCCAAGTCTCTCCAACTCCACGGACACCGATCGCTATCTACACGACAATACTTCCACGGTTAGCCCAAAGCCCAAGCCGAATTATGAAGTATGAAAAGTCCATTATTCCCGTGCCAAATGTCTAAAGTCTCTTGAATCCTGTGTCGCAGACGATCGCGTGCTGGTGTTCCTCGGCTGTATTCGCGACATCCGAGAACTTCCGAAAGGGAACATGACGTCACACAATAAAAATAATAGCTATAGTGACACAATATCTATAAATAATTTTAGTGTATCGTAACACCTCCCCCCTTAAAGAAAAGTTTGAGTATAATGAAAACTTTTACAATTACAATGAAACAATATCATGATTTCACAAAATTTACATACATTTCAAAAAAATAACATTTTAATCAACGTGTACTCTTGACAAAGCATCTACAATTAAATTTTCTTTTCCTTTAATATGTTTAATGATAATATTTTTCTCTTGTAATTCCAAACTCCATCTCATTAGCCTTTGATTCTTGTTTTTCATTTTGTGAACAAATGTGAGTGGATTGTGGTCAGTGAAAACAACAACTGGATGTACAGATGAATACACATACACATCAAAATGTTGCAATGCTAATAACATAGATAAACACTCTTTTTCCACAGTGGAATAATTTCTCTGACATTTTGAAAACTTTTTGGAAAAATAAGCAACAGGATGACAAACACAATTTTCATCTTCTTGTAACAAAACTGCCCCACAACCCACATCACTAGCATCAATTTGCAACAAAAATTCTTTATCAAAATCTGGTGATGAAAGAACTGGAGAGACCATGAGAATTGTTTTGATTTGCTGGAAGGCCTGTTGGCATGATTCATCCCAAATAAATTTGCTATTCTTTTTCAAGAGACAGGTCAATGGGTTAGCAATGGTCGAAAAGTTAGGGCAAAATTTCCGATAGTACCCCGCCATTCCCAGGAATCTCATCAGTTCTTTCTTACACTGAGGTGCTGGAAAATTTACAATTGCCTCAACTTTAGCAAAAACTGGTCTAACATGGCCGTTACCAACAACATGGCCTAAATATTCAACTACAGCATGACAAAATTCAGTTTTTGTAAGGCTTACAGTCAAATTTGCCTCTGAATGTTTCACAAATAATGCCCTTATGTGTGACAAATGCTCTTGAAAAGTGTTACTATACACAATCACATCATCAATGTATGCCTCACTTGCATCTACATCACTAAGTAAATGATTGATCATCCTTTGAAAGGTTGCAGGGGCATTTTTTAACCCAAAAGGCATCACCTTATATTGATAGAAACCTTTTGGGGTAACGAAGGCTGAAATCTCTTTCGCTCTTTTGGTCAGTGGGACCTGCCAATACCCTTTCAAAAGATCGAATTTACTTACGTATTTGGCCTGACCAATTTTATCGATGCAGTCTTCAATTCTGGGAATCGGGTAGGAGTCAGTTTTGGTAATTGTGTTGACCTTGCGGAAGTCAGTACAGAATCTGAACGACCCATCTGGCTTGGGAACAAGTAGACAAGGGGAGCTCCAAGGGCTGTTACTGTACTCAATTATGTCATGTTCTAACATATAAGCCAGTTCTGCATTACAGTGCTCTTGTTTTACAGGGTTCATTCTGTAAGGATGTTGTTTAATGGGAGATGCATCCCCAACATCTATATCATGATATACAAGATTGGTCTTTTTAGGAACATCCGGGAATAAATGTGTAAATTCTTGTATAAGAGACATAAGCTCTTCTTTTTCATTCTCTTGCAAGTGGCTAAGTTTAGACTCCAAGTCTGACAAAACATCAGAGTTTTTCAACTTAGGAGTAGACTGATCATACTTATGTGCAAGTTGGTCTTGTTCTTGGGTAGACTTAACTTCAGGGCTTGAAGCAGCAACTGATTCTACCTTAGGGTGATCTATGTCAGTTCGGTTATGATACTGTTTGATCATGTTGATGTGACAGAGCTGTTTGTTCTTGTGTCGACCAGGTGTTTTAATAATGTAATTCAAGTCATTGACCTTGCGTTCAACTTCAAATGGGCCAAAATATTTAGCACGCAAAGGCTGACCTGGAATTGGTAGCAAGACAAGGACTTGGTCTCCTGACTTAAATGTTCTCGTTTTGGTACGTTTGTCATACCAGGTTTTCATTTTGTCTTGACTTACCTTTAGATTCTCTCTGGCTAGCGTCCAAGTCTGACTGAGCCTCTCTTTGAACTTTGCTACATAATCTAATAGATTTGTCTCACTCTCTTCAACCAACCACTTCTCTTTTAGCAATTTCAATGGTCCTCGCACAGTGTGACCATATACAAGTTCAAAGGGACTAAAACCTAGTGATTCTTGTTTTGCATCCCTAACAGCAAATAAAAGAAAGGGGATTCCCTGGTCCCACTCCTTCTCATTAGACAAACAATAGGTTCGAATCATGTTTTTCAAGGTTTGATGAAACCTCTCAAGGGCCCCCTGGGACTCTGGATGGTATGCACTGGATGTGTGATGTTTAATCCCTAACTCCTGCATTACCTGTTTAAAGACCTGGGATGTGAAATTGGAACCTTGATCAGACTGTACTGACTGGGGCAAACCAAAATTGGTGAAAAACTTGGTCAAAGCATTGACAATGGTTCTAGACTTTATGTTTCGCAGCGGAATCGCTTCAGGGAAGCGTGTCGACGCACACATTATTGTCAACAAGTACTGATTACCAGCTTTGGTTTTAGGTAAGGGACCCACACAGTCTATAATGACCTTGGTAAATGGTTCATCAAAAGCAGGGATAGGCTTTAAAGCAGCTGGAGGGATTTTTTGATTAGGTTTTCCCACTACTTGGCAGACATGACAAGATCTGCAATAGTCGACTATATCCCTTCTCATCTTAGGCCAGAAGAAGTGAGTCAATGCCTTATTGTAGGTCTTTGTGACCCCCAAATGACCCGACATTGGTGTGTCATGGGCAAGCCCTATGACTGTTCTCCGATATGCCCTAGGTACTACAATTTGATGGTGGATTTGCCACTCATCCTCTACTGAAGTATCAGGGGGACGCCATTTTCTCATAAGTACACCCTGATTCTTATAATAACAAATAGGGACCTTCTCTGCCTCCTCTGGAGACAAAGCCTGTTCAAAGAGACCTTGTAATTCAACATCTGACTCTTGTTCGGATATCAGTTTATCTCTAGTAAGAGGTGTGTTGTCTAACATTTCCTGTAAACCAAATACATCACCTTTGGACTGCTGATCCTCTGAGGAAATGTGACTTTCTGAATCTAACATAGCTGACAAAAATGTCTCATCAAGATCTACAGACAAGTCCTTCCCTGTATCTAACTTCTGACTTACCGTCTGTTCAGCATGTTCTAGTTTCTTAGCCATAGCCCTCGTAATAGCACATGAAGGAAATAACTCTTTATTCTCCTCCTCTACCTCTCCTATAAGACTAGGCTTTTCACAAATGATTGGGTCAGGTACCACCCTACCCCCAGCTAAATCATTACCTAACAAAAGAGAAACTCCCTTAACAGGTAAAGTAGGTCTAACACCTACTACCACTGACCCAGAGACTAAATCTGACTTCAAGTCTATAACATGAAGAGGAACTTTCACAAGTCCTAATTCTACACCCTGAATCAACATTTCAGAACCAGTATGTGTCTTCTCAGACAGTGGCAACACGCCCTCTAGTAACAAAGACTGAGAAGCACCTGTATCCCTCAAAATTCTTATAGGGTGTGAGTCGGTACCCACCGACACTAAACCATCAAATACAAAAGGCTTAAATTCCTCTCTAAAAACATCAGACTCTGGCTTAACAGCAGTGTTCTCAAACTGACTACAGGAAACCTTACCTTGGACAGATGTAAGAGCAGTGGGACTTGGTTTACTTTCATTACTTACAGGTTTTTTCCTCTGTAATGCCCAACATTCAGACTTAACGTGACCCTTCTTTTTACAATAATTACAAATGGGTACCTGCTTTAAGGTTTCATTAGCCTTATCCTTACCTTTGATCTCAGAGTACGCCATCTTAGGTTGAGTTACCTGTGAAGTGTCTGGTCCCCCTCGAGAACTGTCATAGGTGACCATCTTCTGTTGACTAGTACTGTGTTTTACAAAAGATACCTTATGTGTTAGTGCATAATCATCAGCCGCAGTCGCAGCTTGCTCAAGAGTCTCAACCTTCTGTTCATCTAAATAGGTTCTAATTTCAGGATGAATACAATTTTTGAATTCCTCAATCAAAATGACCTGTTTCAACCTTTCAAAGTTTGATCCAACATTTTTAGAAGTGCACCATCTCTCAAACATATTTTGTTTCTCTCTCGCAAATTCAACATGAGTCTGTTCATTGAATTTCTTGTAATTTCTAAATTTCTGTCTATAGGCTTCTGGTACAAGCTCATATGCTTTTAAGACATTTTTCTTAATAACATCATAATCTGTACTTTGTGGAAGTGACAATGCACTATAAACTTCCCTAGCTTTGCCAACAAATGCACTCTGTAACAATAGTGGCCAGAATTCTTTTGGCCATTTCAAATTTTCTGCTATTTTCTCAAAATGGATAAAATATTTGTCAACATCTTTCTCTTGAAACTTAGGGACAAGTCTTATGTTCTTTGTCACATCAAAGTCAGATTTTGATTTGGCCTTAGCCTCAAGTTCCAACTCATGTTTTAACTTTTGAGTCTCGAATTCTAATTTCTTAATCTGTAACTCATGTTCTCGATCTTGCGCACTTTTCTCTTTTTCATATTCTCTCTTTTCTCTTTCAAATGCCTGCCTTTCTCTCTCTTGTTCAATTTCTAATTTCTTGAACTCTAATTCATATTCAAAATTTCTTTTTTCAATTTCACTAGATTTCAAATCTTCAACCAATGACAATGCACTATCATCTAAAATACCTCTCTGAACTAAATACTGAACCATAGCATTTCTAATTTCTATTTTCCGAGCACTGCGCTTAACATTCAAGTGAAACTTTGACACAAATTCAAACAAAAAGTGTTTGAAGTAACCACGCATCTGGTGCATTCAAAAAATCCTCTAAGTTAAAAACCATCTTGACTGGTGTGTATGATAAAAAATAAAATTCCCAAATAAAATAATTTTGTGATCAAAATCTCCGAGATATCGTTTTTAAAAAAATTTCCCATAAAAAGCCAAAAGTTCGATTATCCCGGACGAGCCCCCAATTTGTAACGTGTGCCGAATACACAAATCTATTTTTGCCTCCCGATGACACACTTACAACAACACACCAGGCAAAACGAATTAAAACTTTAACAAATTTTAATGAAAACAAGCAATAGTATCAAATAAACACACAGTTACAGTTACACACAAATTGACATATAATAAACAAATTCAGACAACGTTTACTCAGCTGTTCAGTTCGAATGTCCTCCAGTCCAGAACGAATCACACCACTCCGAGAACATCAGACACTATGGACGGCGGTCACTAAATATGTACTTTCACGGTATTATAAACATCCTGGGCCGAATTACAAAGTACGACATACCATCAGTCCATTGCCAAGTCTCTCCAACTCCACGGACACCGATCGCTATCTACACGACAATACTTCCACGGTTAGCCCAGAGCCCAAGCCGAATTATGAAGTATGAAAAGTCCATTATTCCCGTGCCAAATGTCTAAAGTCTCTTGAATCCTGTGTCGCAGACGATCGCGTGCTGGTGTTCCTCGGCTGTATTCGCGACATCCGAGAACTTCCGAGAGGGAACATGACGTCACACAATAAAAATAATAGCTGTAGTGACGCAATATCTATAAATAATTTTAGAGTATCGTAACAATGTACATTACATGATGTGGGATCAAATCAAAAGGTACATGTAATCGCACAAATACATGCATGTATCAATACACAGATCCCACTTTACAGATAAACAACATTTGCAAAAAAAAAACAACAGTGGGTATATAGCAAAAAATTGCACAACAAAAATGCAGTCGCAATAAGATATATAAAGTTAGCTACTAGTAACCGGCTACTAGTAGCTGGCTACGACAAGTGGGTAAAGTTGGGTACTAGTAGCAGGCTACGATAAGTAAGTAAGGTTGGTTAGTAGTAACTGGTTACTATTAAATGACTAGAACCTTCTATAACCTTTTGTGTAATTTTCGGATACAAATGTTGATAACATTGAAGTAGATGGATTTTTACTTAACTGATATCCACTGATATTGCTAATAAAAACAATCTCTAAGCTGTTCCACATTATCTGGAACAAAAGTTACCATAAGTTATATCGTTAGAAATAAATTCAGCTACTAGTACCTTTTGTGGAAAATTGTGCAATTTGGGGATACCAATATCAGTGGATATCACCCAAATAAAAATCCAGTTACTTCAAATAATATTCACTAATATTAACATTTATATCCCAAAATTGCACAATTTTACACTAAAGGTACTAGTAGCTGAGTTTATTTCTAAGAATATCTTAGTAACATCAATGCCAGATCATGTGCAGAAGCTAAGAGATAGTTTTATTAGCAATAACAGTAGATTACAGCGATATAAAAATCCAGCTATTTCAATAATATCAACATTTGTATCCCAAAATTGCACAATTTGACACAAAAGGTTCTAGAAGGTTCAAATAGTAGCCAGTTACTAGTAGCCAACTTTACTTACTTCTCGTAGCCAGGTACTAGTAGCCAACTTTACCCACTTGTTGTAGCAAGCTACTAGTAGCCAGTTACTAGTAGCCGACTTTACATATCTGTCGCAATATGCATGTGAGCAGTTTTATTTGACCTGAAAAGGGAATCAGTTACCCTCTGGCGGCAGTCTTGATAAAATGGAAAGAAAATAAATATAATTTATTTTATCATGTTAATGAATAGATACAAAATATTTATTTTTGAATTAATTTACTCCAAGACTTGATGTGAATAAGTGTAAAATAACCAAACTAAAAGAAATCTCAAAATTGTTTTTACTTTTAATATTCAATATTACCAGACATAACAGTGCTATTTGCAGTCTTTATATCAATCCAAATGTTTATTTTAAGCTTAGCAGACAAAGTGATCTTAATAGCCAGGATAAAACATTGAGACAGGAAAATTTATATAAAACATTTAATCATTAACTATGAAATTAATATTACATTATCTTTTTACATAGATGAGGAGGCAGGAGCAACAGACGAGACAAAAAATCCTTTACTTCCAGGTAAATTCCTAAAGATGAATAATGTTTTCTTTTTTTTTAAATGCTTTTTATGAGTAAAAAAAGATATAAATGTACAAAGATAACATTCAGTGTCACATGTGATTTTCAGTTACTCAAAGTTTAGTAGTGTTTGGATGTCTTCCAATTTTTTTTAACATCCTATCATTTGCTAAAGAACTACTTTGTCAATTTCAACTTGACTGAAAGTATTCGTAGATGTAGTGGAATTTGTTTCTTCCAATATCGGGGCAAAATCTTTTTCACAAGGAGATGAAAAGAGAAAACTAAAGTGTATTCCTTTTAAAAATTGAGGCTTTGGAAGCGCTGTTCTTTAATTATATGTACCCGTATTTTTTTTTTTTTACTTTTTGCATATTTCCATGCTTTGAAAAATGTTTGACAGCTGGTGACAGATATTTTTTAAATCTTTAATGCATTAGTTGAAACTGTTTAACCAGCCAGCTGAATTCAAACTTTTAGTGTTAGTCTCTTTTATAAAAATAGCTCACCTGAGCTGATACATCTAACACAAGAGAGCTTTCCTTATAACTCGGATCCGGTTTTTCAATAGGTAGTTAACTCTGACCTGTTGTTAACCTCACCACTGTATTAAATTTTACTACCTTTTGAAAAACTGGGCCCTGGTGTTTGTCGTCCGTCCGTCTGTAAACTTTTCACGTTTTTGATATCGGTGTATTTGTCAACAATAGCAGACCCAATTTTAACAAAAGCTGGTACAAAGCATCTTTAGTTGAAGGGAAATTTGAAATTTAATACTAAGTATGAAAGCCAAAGCCCCCTTCCCTGCCCCACTACATGGGGAGATAATCAAGAGAAGATAAAAATAGGGTGGGGGTCATTTATGAAAATAAATCTTCTTCTCAAGAACCACATGCACTTTATGCAGAGTTTTAATCAGAAATTCATAATTCTTCAAATCCTTGTCCCTGGAATAGGATGGGGCCACAAAAGGAAATCCAAGTTTTACATGCAATATATAGGAAATTCTTTTGATGAAAAACCACTGGGCCAGAAAGGCTGAAACGTTTGTGGAAGCATCCTGGGATAGTGTAAATTCTAGCTTGTTCAAATTATGACCCCCGGTCACTAAATATGAAATAAAGCACTCTCTGAAAACTATTCAGTCACAGATATAAAACTTTCTTTTGTTAATGTGTAGAACGTTTTTAGCTCACCTGAGCCGAAGGCTCAAGTGAGCTTTTCTGATCACATTTTGTCTGTTGTCCGTCCGTCCGTCTGTAAACTTTTCACATTTTCGACTTCTTCTCAAGAACCACTGAGCCAATTTTGACCAAACTTGGTACAAAGCATCCTTGGGTAAAGGGGAATTTAAATTGTTAGAATGAAGGGCCCAGTCCCCTCACAAGGGGAGACAATCAAGAAAAGACAAAAATAGGGTGGGGTCATTAAAAAATCTTCTTCTCGAGAACCACTGGGCCAGAAAATCTTCTTCTCAAGAACTACTCAGCCAGAAAAGCTGAAACTTATGTGGAAGCATCCTGGGGTAGTGTAGATTCTAAATTGTTCAAATCATGACCCCCGGCGGTTGGGTGGGCGACAATGGGGTATCAAAGTTTTACATAGAAATATATACAGTGGACCCTCATTTATCTGGACGCTTTGGTTCCCAGTCAATTTGTCCGGATATGTGAAGCATCTGGATATCTGAATCACCAGTTAAACAAGACAGAATAACATTTTAAAATTTCGTTCCGATGAAAAATCGTCCGGATACTGAAGCATCCGGATATCTGGCGTCCGGATATCTGAAGGTTCACTGTAATTAGGAAAAATCTTTAAAAATCTTCTTCTCAAGAACTACTCAGCCAGAAAAGCTGAAACTTATGTGGAAGCATCCTGGGGTAGTGTAGATTCTAAATTGTACACATTATGACCCCCGGGGGTTTGGCGGCGCCACAATGGGGAATCAAAGTTTTACATAGAAATATATAGGAAAAATCTTTCAAAATCTTCCTCTCAAGAACTACTCAGCCAGAAAAGCTGAAACTTATGTGGAAGCATCCTGAGGTAATGTAGATTCTAAATTGTCCAAATCATGACCCTCGGGGGTTGGGCGGGGCCACGATGGGGAATCAAAGTTTTACATAGAAATATAGAAAAATATCTTTAAAATTCTTCTTTTCACGAACCACTGGGCCAGAAAAGCTGAAACTTATGTGGAAGCATCCTGGGGTAGTATAGATTTCAAGTTGTCTAAATTATGATCACTGGGGTAAGGTGGGATCACAATATGTATTACAAGGCAGGGTTCTCCACAAGGGGTTTTACCATGGCGGCCCGCCTTGGTTAAATTTTTGTGCGCCATGGTCAAACGAGCTGCGCCATGGTTAAAATCGGCAGCCGCCATGATTAAATTTTATTGAATTTCAGTCCTGACACCTACTTTTTTAATGACTTAAGTACTTAATTGTGTTTATACTACGACTGCCATGCACCCCGCATGACGTCTGTAGTAAAAAAAAACACGTCGTTAATCAGCGACTGTGCTGTGAAGCGTGACAATCAATGGGGAGTCAATCAGCTGATCAGATGATCAATATTTTGAGAGTTTATTATCCTGTGCACATGTAAATAATTTTGGGGAACTTCAACATGTTCACTACATAATTAGATATATAACGGCTTGAATGTTAATAAAAGATGACAATTACAAGCATGATAATCGTCATGCATGCTGTGTCAGAAAAAAATACTCTGTAAAAATTTCATATTCCTCTGTAGTTAATCAATTTCCCATGCTCTGTTTTTTAACTTTATTATCTTTTTGATAAAATGTACATAGGGCCTACGTCTCAATCGCCGTCTTAGCATGCTTAGTTTTAATCGCCGGTATAGTCGTAGTTTTAGAGTTACTTCCCGTTGTTATGAAACGTCGCGTGGTGCTATTTTTAGCACTGGGCACGTGGAGAAGTAAACAAAACTTGGTGAAAATGCAATATCTAGAAATAAACGTGTAGAAAAAAGGGACACTGGTCCAAATGTTCATTTGTGAGTTAACTTAAAAAATACTACCCATTCATCAGTTTTAGTTATAGTGAAACAAAATATTTTATACAACAGGCTACAATTCTTATAATTATTAATTTCTGAAAAATATTGCCATGGTTACTGATTTACTGTATCAACAATTCTTCATTAAATTCCTTCAGAAGGTTACTACAGATTCGGGTAAATTTTAGTACATTTGTGAAGTAAGATACAGGATAAATCCTTTTCAACTTATTATTATTATTTTTTTTTACTTTAAAAAGTGTTAGTTATTCCATTGTTTTGTGTTGCAGTGGTTAAGTTTAAAAATTGTAAAAACCATGTAATGAAGAGTAGGAAGTCTAACACGCATTTGTGTTTTGGGTCACATTTCACCTTCGAATTCGCGCAGCTTCTTCCATGGTTAAATTTTCAAGGGGGAAATCGGATAAAGAACAGAATGGTCAAAGCATCTCAGGTGAGCGATGTGGCCCATGGGCCTCTTGTTATAGTTTTAATTCTTAAATATCAGTAATCATAAATTTGCATTTGTAAATGACCAAAATTTTAATTTAAATCTTCAAGTGCTTAATGATCATGTGGTTTGGTTATTTAACAGATTGATATAAATACGACGAAGACTTCATTCCTAGATTTATACACAGATCTTATAAAATCAAATAAAATTGTTTTAAAATATTTTTATACACTTTCATTTTTACAGGTTATGAAGCCGAAGTGAATGGCTCAGAAAAACAGAAACAAGGTAATTTTACGAATTTTATTCCTGAAATTTTCAAGATATGGAATTCTAAACATCAAGTTTTGGTTTATTTTATATCAAAGAAGGTAAATAAATGCATTGAGAGCCCTGTGTATAATATGCATGTACATTGAAATCTCTGTTTTGTTTTTTATTCTATACCTACATAATAATTCAAATTTAGCAGGGACTAACTCTGGACAAAAGCATCATCTTCATTTTATGATATGATTTCTTCATGAAATGAATCACTGCTTTTATCACGGCACTTTACCAGTCTCTTCTATTTATTAGGATTATATTTTCAAATGAACAGATTTAGGAAAGGAAAGGAGATAAAATATAGCTTTGAAATTCAAGTGTGTTAAATAAATGAATAAAGTACAACTACGAAAAACTGACTATCTATTAGATTATGTGCTTCTATTCAAACTTAAAAACCTTCATTGAAAGTAACATAACAGATGAATTATATTAAAAACCAAACTTGGTCATCAACATGCCTAGCTATAGCAGGGGGTCGGGGTGGGTGGTGTTGGAGGGTGACTGCATCTCCCTAGACTTTCAATTACTAGTATTTAATCAACGAACCTTGGGCACCTCCTAAGAAACTCGTAAAACGACTTATTATATTATGTCGTTTTCACAACATAATATGTCGTTTTCACAAGATAATATGTCGTTTTCACAAGATGATATCTCGTTTTCACAAGATAATATCTCGTTTTCACAAGATAATATCTCGTTTTCACAAGATAATATCTCGTTATCACAAGATAATTTCTCGTTTTCACAAGATAATATCTCGTTTTCACAAGATGATAAGTCGTTTTCACAAGATAATATCTCGTTTTCACAAGATAATTATGTCGTTTTCACAATATAATTTTTTTCTGGTATTTAAAAAAAAATAATTGCGTGTCCTAAATATACCACCGTACTATTGTCACTTATTTGACTAAACTATTTTACACTAAAGTCGGAGATTATATTTAATATATAACGTTGTAATAACTTTAAAGTGTGTTTTATAAAATGCGTGCATACTGGTTTTCGTCAATTGAATCACTGACTCTCTCGTGATTTCAGCAAATTGAATCATGATCATTTACGGACCTTTCATAAAAATCTGAGATTTATGTGCTGTAGTGTAAATTTTTGTCGAACCACTGATCCATGAAGTCTTTAATATTGTAAACGTCCCTGTGGATAAAGTAAATGAATATTTAATATTTTCCCATCAATTTTACATTTCAGCATATCTATTAAATGATGCTTAAAATTATCCCTAAAGTAGATATAAACTTTATGTACATGAAACTTTCGATAAATATAGTTAGGAACTAAGAAAATCATAATTGAGATTTGGAATTCATGTTTTATTTTTCACATTCGAGCACAATTATTTTATTTCTCGCATAGTCTTAAAGTACTATAATTTTTTCTTCTTTTCGCTACATTTTTTATTAAATTGGTTGAACCATATCTAATGTGTAAATAGCTAATGTTTGTACACAAACAAAAAAACTAACTAACAAAACTATGCTATCATTTTTTTTATTCAAATGCTGAAAACAATCAGAACATTTCATATAAGTGACTCGTGAACTAATAAAATTATTCGTTATCAATACATGTAAAGGAAAGGGTATACATATTATATATTATTATATCATCTCAATGTACATGCATATGTTATAATAGATATCAAACAGTTAAAACGATATTCAAACTGTTCATGCATATAAAATAAATATATAAATACATGTACATACATGGAAGATAATTTCGTCATAAATTAACACTGTTAGAATTTTTTAAAATAATAAAACAATGTTCCGGAAACTATAATAACAGGGGGAAGTCTCGCTATGAATGGGGGAAGGCTGGTTATAAAGTGAGCCTTCCCCCCGGAAGAACGGCTAAATAGTGAAACTTCCGTGGGGGAAGTCTCACTATATAGCCATTCTTCCGGGGGGAAGGCTCACCATATAGCCAGCCTTCCGGGGGGTAGACTCACTATATAGTGAGCCTTCCGGGGGAAGCCTCACTATGGGGGAAGTCTCACTATATGACACCTGTCCTTCGGATAAGACAGTATAAACCGAGGTCCCTTGCAGAGGTAGTGCTGGTACGAAACAGATCCCGCACTGCTCAATAGACCTAAGTGCCGACTATAGGTCTAATATTGGAGGTCTCAACCTGCAAGTAATTTTAATGGCGTCTCCATATGAGTGAAAAATTCTCGAGAGGGACGTTAAACATAAATCAATGAATCAAACGCTATTTATGGCACGCCAAATTCACAAAAATGAGCTAATCATAGTTTTACAACCGATAAACAGGGTTTTTCGGTTGTAAGCTATAGTTTACGGATTGTAAACTATAGTTAACAACGTTAATCTATATTTTATATCTGTAAACCATAGCTAACGCGATAATCTATGTTTCACAACCGTAAACTATACTTAACACCGAAAACAATCATTTGCGATTGCAAAACATAGATTACTAGTATCTGATAAATACAGTTTCACGATTTGTAAACTATAGTTTACAAACCGTTAACTATAGTTAACGATCTGATAAATATAGTTTCACGATTTGTGAAACTATGATTAACAACTTTTAACTATAGTTTACGATTGTAAACTATAGTTTACAAACGTGAATCTATGATTATCAACAAAATCTATTGTTAACGCTTATTACAGACAGATAAACTTAGATTAGCATTCCTAAACTATAGTTAACAACCGTTAAATATAGTTTTACAGATGAAAACTATACTTAACGAATCGTTAACTATAGTTTACAGTCGATAAACCTAGTTTATCAATTGTGAAACTATGTTTAGCTATTTTTGTGAATTTGGTGTGCCATAGCTATTGATTTAAAAATGTGAAGATAACGAACAGTAATTGATTTCAAATTAATTTATAAGCAATACAAATAAATGAAGAGAAGAGTACATAAAACACGAATCCTGGAGATATAAAACTCACTGTTGAAAAAGAGGAACGAAGGCCTGAATGGTCACCTGAATATAATTGCAACACTGTAAAGGATCCATAGAATTATAGAGCAAAATTCGCTGATAGATTAAGCTATGTTGCCAAAGAATTTCAAAAATCTAATAAAAATACGTAAGGGTTAATGTACGAGTAGCGCTTTATTCCTTAAAAGTAATGGAGCCGAGGCCCCGAAGCGCTACGAGTTTATTAACAGCGTAAAATCCGCCTATTTAAGGGGGATGTACGGCCACCTTTAGTGCTGTGAGAACAAAATGTGAACATTTCTTCAAATGGCTAAAATACATCATATTTTGATCAAATTTTAAGTCCTTGTGATACAGATACGATAAAAATGCATAACTGAATGCATGCTGTGCATATATAATCTATACTTTTGCAGAAAAATGCTTTTGATATGCTCCTTAGAACTGCGCAGCTACAGAATTCAGCAGAGCCTTAAAAAATCCAAAAAAATATGCAAACTGTGCATCAATGTTCTCTCTACAACCATTTGTTGAGAAAATGTCTAAATTTTGCACTTTTAAATGATAATTTCAAGTTCAAAACAAGGTATCGTTGTCTTCAAAAAGAGTTTAAAGAACCATGAAAGTAGTTCATGCATAGCAGCACGTGGTCTATTTTTAGCACAGAATTTTGTTTTCCAGACCTCTTCTTAATATGGAGGGACATAACAATCTTTAAATGTAGAAGAGAATTACAGTTGCAAAATATTTCACATAGTATGAACACTTTTAAAAGAGGAAATGTGTTATAGTATGGCTTGAAATAATTTATTTAGTATTATTATCGAACAGTTGTTAAATAATGTACTTATTGATATCAAAGAAAAAAATCTTGAACTCTTTGATTCCAGGTAAGGAAAATGAGCACCATCAAAGTTAAGAATTAAGAGTTTGTAAGTTTGCCACATATAACATATAATATATATCAAAATTTTAATTATCACCAATGAAACACAAAGAAATTAAACACATAAAATCGATATGAATGACCTTGATTTAGTACCTACTTGTACGAGGGGTGATCAAAAAGTTCGCGAACTATCTCTATATCTACAAAACCACAATTCAGATTAGAAACAAATTTGGTGCACACATAGCCAAACACAAGTTCTATAAAATAGCATATGCTGAATAAAGTTTTGCTCATAATGACGTCATTATGCAGGTACTTGTGACGAAAAATGGTTGCCTTAGTGGAACTCGTTTAACAAACGACTAAAATATTTATGGTATATCTTAAAAATGCCTTTGAAGTAGCATATAAGAATTTGTTCATAGTTTATTAAGACAAATGACTTCCTACAAATTCAATCAATGATTGGATAGATCGTTTTAGTGAAGGAAGGCAGATGGTTAAATATGATACTTGTTATATTGCCCAGTGATATATTAGCAAGTTTGAAAAGGGATGTGTTTTTAATTAAGCAATATGCTATCAAAGACCTCCAATTTACACTTTGAAAAATACTTGAATATTTCAACAATAATATAACTATCAAATACCTAAGATATATCGTTTACTTTTTGATCTACCCTCGTATACTCTGTCAAATAAACATTTACAATTTTGATTTTAGCGGAGCAACATTTGAAAAGGAATGAAATCATTCAGAGTGAGTTAGGAGATTTAATGAATAAAAAAACTTTTTCTATTTGCCCTTTTTGTCAAAATTACAATTTTACAGAGTAAAGAAAAAAATCAACATTAATAAATATTTTATACCATCTTTAAAATGACGTTTGGTGGTCCTCCCAACTCAGGGAAAAATTATTGGGTCCGTATTTATAGGTGAGAAAAAAAAATCCTAAAATTTTAAACATATTCGTTGACGGAAGGAAAAAAAACATGTAATGGGATGTAAAAAAAAAAATGAGTCGGGCCATTTCTAGGCAGTAGATCGGGAGAGAGGGCAACCAAATATTTTTTTAACAAATTGTCTTATAAGGCTAGTACATGTTCCATCAC